AGTGAGCACGGGGCATATATGCGAGATCGCTTGATCACAAATATATCCAGAGAACACAGCAAACAAAGTCTGATTCTGAATCTTTACCAAAAACATCAACGGGATGACGGACTGGATTTTCTCAGAAAAGTCCGGAGTTCTTGCACAGCACAAAACAAAAACGATGCTGCAAAGGTAATGGCTCCCCAAACAAAACACGCAAAGATAAAGGATAAAGAATGTTCGGTGGTATTCCTTGCTATTTTCTTGCACGCAGGTTTTCGTCTGCTCTCAGGCTCTTCTTTTTCTTATTGTGAAAGAAGCGGCATATGATAGGGCAGTTCCTTATGCGTTTTCTTTCTTTTGTGCTTTTTTCTTTTTCTGTTTTTGCGGGTGAAGCCGCAACGGATCATCTAGTGTTCTGAGAATGGGGTTCTCGTGAGCCTCATATCCCGTTCCAACAAGTTAATACACACCTTTGCATACAGGGAATAACCAGGCTTCATGGTCCTGTTTCCCCTCCTGAATGCTGGCAGATGTCCTACGGTGCCTCCGTGATAATGCGTGATATTCCTGCCATGCTTATTGTCCTTGGGTTGTGATGCTTTCTGGGCATTCCGCCTAGGCCACCATATGGCCTTTAGTCCCTGCCCTTCAATCCTTGATATCTTGCCTCCTCCAAACTTGATCTTGCAAGAGTCTCTGTCGCAGATCCTCTGCTTTCTCTGGGCTGTTCTTCATCTTCCTTTGGGTCCTGTACCATTCCGCTTTATTGTCGGTCCCAAGTAGGCCCGTGAAGTCTTCATCCATTTCTCTGATAGATATACCTTACTGATCAATGGTTTTCTGTGCAAGGACCAGCCCTTCGACTTTGCACCGTTTCTGCCTGTAAAGGTGGCTTTGTTGGCAGTGCCGGTTTTGAGAATTTTCGATGCCACCTTGCCTACCCAGGTCACTAAAGACACATCCAGCTATTATATGGGACCGGTGCTAAAAAGGCATGACCGTAAGGCCCTCCAATCCTGTGGAGTACTTCAGCAAGAAGGTGGTCCCCCGTGCATTCAATCAGTAATGCCAGGGAGAAGGAAGTTGTTTCGTTTATCATGGTTCGCAAGCGATGGCGGCACTTCCTCCTTGGGCGTCATAAGGTTGTGTGGGCTATTGACAACGACCCGCTTGTCTTCTACAAGACGCAAGATGCAGTCAATAATTGCAGGTGGGATTACCTCCATCTATCACTTCAACTTTGACATGCGGCACAAGGCTAGAAAATCGGACAGGCTTGCCAATTCTTTGTTTTGACGCCCCAATCTTTGTGGTGCTGTCCATCACTTACATTTGATGAGGATCAGCAGTGACACTTGTTGCGAGGCTTACCAGTCTGATCCAAATCTTTGGGAGATTTACAATCAGCTTTTCTCACCCACCACTACGCCTTTAGATTTCCGTGCTCAAGATGGGTTCTTACTTCTTCATTCGCATGGGCAGGACTTACTTCAGATACCTCTCGACTAACTTTTGTGAGGGAGGCTACTTGGAGTTCACCATGACATGAACCTCAGAGGCTACCTCGCCGTTCAGGCTTTGTGATGGATGTTACACGATAGTGTGAGTCCTGCGAGGTGTGCACGTGGTGAAACCATGCAACCATTGTCCTTTTGGCAGGGTGCGGCCTCTAGTGATTCCGCTTTGGGCCCACTCCTCGATTGCTATGAGTGGTACCGACCTGTTTTTTCAAGATCGGTTTGGTCATGATGGCATTTGGACCATTGTCAAACGTTTGATTAAGTTCGCACAATTTCTTCCATGCAAGTATCATGCCAAGGCTGAAGAGTCGGCATATACTTTCAATGCGGGCTAGATATGTCACAAGGGGTCCGCCAAGGACATAGTCAATGATTGCTACACCCCGTTCATGTCCATTTTTTTATTCTTTATTTTTTTTTTATTTTTTTTTTGTAAGACAACTTCCATTTTCATTAAAATCTTGGAAAAGGGGCCGGCCACCGCACATGAAGACTGGATCTGGGAGCTTTACCCATTGTTATGCTTTTGACAGGACCCTTTGGGACCCGGACCGAAGTACCACACTTGGCGAAACCTGTAATTCCTGCTCATAACTTTAAGCCCTAGTTCTCCTGTCTGTTACAGGCCCAGCTGGGCGATGTACATATATACCGAGGAGCCGCAATGTGATGAAAAGGACTGAATGGACAATGCAGTGCAAGAAGAATCTCAACAAGCAGTGCACATCCTGATACATACAAAAATGGTGCTTTATAGCGCAGTGGAAGACTTCGATACAAGTCCTGACCTGACCGGGACTGACCTCTCTCACGTAGTACAAGACAGCGCAGCAGGAATGCTAGAATACCAATGACGAGCCCAATCAATGTCGCAATGCAGACTAAACATACATCATTCTCATCACAAGGTGTGAAGGGCCCTGGCGCTACACACAGGAAGAAGGCGCCAGGTCCAGACATGCACAGACGAAGAGTAGGGATCAGACGAAGAAGAGGAGGGGGAGATGGGAAGGTCGTCAACACCAAGGCTCGTTACAAGTCCCAAATAATCCCTCGTCAAAATGTCTGAAGCCCATGTCGAGTCTGGATCCAAATGTCACCAAGCTCTCTCTCTCTCGTAGTCTGCTGATGCAGTGAAGTCAGGTAGCGAGAGGGTGAGAGGGAGATGGTGGACTGAGAAGAGGAAGAAGAACTCTCTCTCTCTCTCTCTCTCTCTC